AAGAAACACCATATATTATTTGCTGAAATATTTCTCGAGGAATTTGTTACACATAATACACGATGACCACACCAACAAACCTCATAGCAATTGCCGATGGCATACTTTCCTAGCATCCGATATGCAGCTGCTGAATGTACATGTTTAACACCAAGGATACGCTTAGTACCATTCATATAATCATCAACATCTTCACCAGCTAAGTGTTTAAGTACCTGAAACAAAATACTACAAAAACTTATTAGTACACGAAGTAACAATCACAAGCACACTTTATTTTTAAAATCAACACTTCCATAATAATATGACTATGTTAATTACTCCTATTATCAATTATCCTTCCACTATCACTTATCCATGATTTTCTTTTGCACAAATGTTTAATATAAACATAAAAGCCAACTTCCTCTGAATGCATCATATCTCTTCGTATGATATATTGTTCAAGCATCCAGGATAATTTCCTAGATGTGACATGTAATAATAACAATATCATGACTTCAGATAAAACCATACAGCACTTGCACTCTGAGTGCTTTAGGAGGCTAACCGTCAGACCATTCCGACTGATGGAATGACTCATCATTTCATAAAAATACCTCCGAAAAACAACGAATTTAATTCTTTTATATTTAAAATACCTCAGAAGTAAAAGCAGAAAAATAAATAAATAAATAAATGAAAACAAAATGAAGAAACCTTCTGTCCACCAGGATGTTTCGATGCAAATAACGCTATATCGTATAATATTCCGTTAACTCGTATTAATAATGGGCGCTCGCGTAAATTACAAACTTTCGTAGTATTCCTTTCTCCTTTCAAGTTGTCGTTCTCAGTATCATTCAATACCATCACTTAGAATTATCGAAATGAAAAATCCTGAATGAAGGTCATATCATTGTAGACATGAAATAAACAATATAAGAATACCGAAATACAATGAAATTGGGTAATATGGAATGAAGAGATGAGTACGATGGTTGAAATTAAATTTTTTTTCGGGAACCTGTGTGATGAATGGTTAAATTTGTGTGAATTCATCAGTAAGTCAAAGAGTAAATGTAGTCGAACAGCACTAAATAATTGAATGGTTAATCGTAAATAAGTGCAAAATTTATGAAAACATAAGTGATGAAGAAATGAATGGACAAGCTAAATCGAAAAGCAATCAGTAATAACATAACCTACAGGAATAAAAAATACTGATTAACAAATAATAAATAACTGAACAAGTTAAAAAAAAATATTTAAATGAGTGAAATAGTAAGTAAACAATTAACCAAATAAATGACTACATAAGCAAAGCAGCTAACTAGTAACTAGGCACCTAAATAAACTAACTAGACAATTAAATAATTAAAAAGTGATCAATACTGAGGATGAAATTTATGTTATCCGAGAAACTAAAAATGATAGGTAGAGATGTAAGTGCACATGCACATCACGAATATCACCAATTAATAAGATTACCAGAGAGATCAATAATTACTTATCAGAAAAATCGTCGATAGCTTATCAAGGATGTTCACTGTGATAATGCTTCCAATGATGGCGATAATGATGCAACCACATTAGCATTACGAGAATATGTGAATTTCCGGAAAAACATTCCCAAATGCTATCCATTCTGCTGTAATTCTTTTTCTGGAATGATTGATTTCCACTAGCTAAACTGATAAATCGATCTTCTAACCACCATCATCAAGATATGTATGCTTTTTTTGGGAGGAATAATTAAATACTTTAAATCATTTTGGAAACAAATTTCCCATAAATTCTCTAAAGGACTAGTATTGCCGCTTTAAATATTTCGAAAATTTTAACTGAATCCCAAATTAGAGCGGGAATTAAATTTTAAATTTAAATTAAACACAAAGACAGTCCGTTCACTATCAATAGCCTTCGGACGAACCAATCTGTTGGGTACGAAGTTTAATTGAACGATAAGTAACTTCGTTAAATTGTTAAAGCATACGGCAGAATGGATGAACAGATAGGGGATAGTTCCTGGTGTTGTAATTATAGGAGGTAGGTATGTTGACTATACCTTTTCTTTCTTAGAAT